TTAAATGCTGCCTTGTGGATGGGGAGGCAACACATCTGCTCTCTGGGCAGAAGCCTCAGAGAAAGAGGGGGTAGGCGCCGAGGATTGTGGCTAGGGACCACTCATTTTGGTCGCTCCCCTTCCCTCCTAATTTTTTTTATTGTGGTAAATATTACACATAACACATTCACCATTGTGTGTGTGTGTGTGTGTGTGTGTGTGTGTGTGTGTGTGTGTGTGTGTGTGTGTGTGATGAAGGCCAAAGGTCATCACTGGGTGTCATCTTCAACCACTCTACACCTTATTTTTTGAGACAGGGTCTCTCACCAAACTTGGAACTTCCTGATTTGTTTAGACTGCCCAGTCAGCTAGCCCAGGAATCCTTCTCTCTCAGTCTCCACAGTGCTGATGGGTGTTGGGGATCCAAACTCAGGTCCTTGTTCTTGGCCCCTTAACTGATAATCTTATAGATCTGTTTGTCCTCCATCTGCCTTTGTATCATCTACCCACCAGCCCATCCAACTCTCTTCATCTACCCACACATTCACCCAACTGTCTTTGTGCCTACCCATTTACCTGTATCTCTCAGCCCCCATACCTACACCCATCCACACACTCATCCACTATCTATTCATCCATCCACACACCCACCCATCATTCATTCATTTATCCCCCACAACCATCTACCTATCCACCCACACTCATCCACCTACCCTCTGTCCCTCCATTCCTACAACTCCATCTTAACTACTTTTTTCAGCCATACAAGTTTTCATAACTCATTCTCTACCTGCCTACCACCCATCTCTCTTAGCAGCTATCCATCCATCTATCCAGCTGTTATTTACTGAGCCTGGGCCTGAGCTCACAAGGGGAAGGGCAATGAATGGGGGAAGATACTGTCCCTATTTTGGCAGAGGCGATAGTCTGGTAGATGGGAAAGAAATCACAAAAACAAAACATGTATATTATGTTACCCACACACCCAGACACAAATTATTAAGGGACCATAAGAGAACTGTGTTTTATTATATCTGTGGTGATGCTGGGAAGATTTATCAGAAAAGGTGGTTGAAGGGAGGTTTTGAAGGTGGTTAGGCGTTTGGCAAGTGTTGGGAGGAGTAAAGCTCAGAGTTGGGAAAGGACAAAGACTTCCAGGAGGAGAGAATATCTGTAAGGTAGAGCCCAGCACGCTAGCGGGATGGTTCAGGTGAGTTCACTTTGACGGGTGTATGTTCTTACCGAGAGGACCTGAAGATGGGCCCGGGGGCCAGTGAGGATCAGATGATAAAAGATCTGTATCCCTGCAGAAGGAGGCCACAGAACCCACGGCAGACAGACCCAGTGCTCACTGTACACTTAGGAGCTTGCTGTGACAGCAGAGACGGCAGGCTGGAGGGAACAGCAGAGAAGGCAGGGTGGAGGGAACGGCAGAGATGGCAGGCTGGAGGGAACGGCAGAGATGGCAGGCTGGAGGGAACGGCAGGGACAACAGGCTGGAGGGAACAGCAGAGAAGGCAGGGTGGAGGGAACGGCAGGAGGATGGACACTGGTAGCAAAGCTTTGAATCCCCTCTGCAGCCAATGGACAGGCGATCATGAACTTGAGCCTGGGTGGACATGGGTAGAAGCTATGGGGATGGAGGATTTAGAAGAAGGAGCTGGAGGAGGAAGGATACCTGGGAAATCACAGAACAGTGGGTGGCTTATTGGTTTCATAAGGGTGTTGTGTTGTGAGGACTCAGGAAGCAACATTCCAAAGGCAGGGGGGGCATTATCAAAGGGGTACACCTTGTTGTCTCAGCTTGCTGTATTTATTTATCCGTCTAATGTGTATGTGTATGGAAGTTTTGTCTGCATAGATGTGTATACTTCAAACGTGTGCCTGGTCTCCAAGGAGCCCAGAAGAGGCCACCAGAGCCTCTAGAACCAGTGTTATAGATAGCTATGAGCTGCCAGGTGGGTGCTGGGAATCAAACCTGCGTCCTCTGCAAGAGCAGTCAATGCTCTTAATTGCTGAGCCATCTCTCCATCCCCAGCCTGCTGTATTTAAATCAAAAGGTAAGGGACTGGAGAGAGAGAGATGCCCACAAGTCCTCCAACCCAAGCTTGCACTGTAGTAAATTTTAAAGTACTGCTTTTTTCAAAATAAACTTTTAGCATCTCAGAAACCAGACTGCATCATATAAAAAGTGAGGTCATAATTAATTAAATTAATTGGCACTATTAGATGTACTTAAAATTACAATGATTGCGATCTTGGAGCCTGGTGTCAGACTCTTCGCTGCTTCCGTCTTTGCCTTTTTGGGGGAGTCCTCCATCAGCCTCTAAGCTACCAGACTTGGCTCTTTCTCCCAGGTCAGGCTTTGGGGCTCTGTGTAAGTGGATCCCTTGTGCTCAAGGCCACTTGCTGAGCTAGGTTTTTGGTTTCAGCTGTGGCCAACCTCAGACCTCAGGGGGAGCTTTGCCCAAGATAAATCTGGTCTACAGGAGTGGAAGTTGAGTGGGAGTGGAGGCCCTTCTGCCTGGCTCCTGGCCTTTCCTTTCAACAGGTCAGGGGTCACTATCCACACCTGGCTACCATCTTTTCACACTTGTTTCCTGGGACCCTTTTTCTTGTCTCCCAGGGGTTCTCTGACTGGAACATGGGTGACAACCACCCTCCCCAGGGGCAGAAGGGATAGGAATGAAATCCCAGCAGAGTGGCCTCCCGTGGGATGAGGCTTGGTGGGAGGTTGGTCTTTCCTGGCTATGTGGAGACAGTTCATCTCCTTTAGGGCGCAGGAAGGTGGGATCCGTCTGCCCTAGAGATGCTCCGGTGGGAGCAGCTGATGTGGAAAGTGATTTTGTCAGAGCAGGGCCTGTTCAACCTCCTGACATGAGCCTGCAGCTGCCTCTGGCTGGAGCCTTTAATTTCGTTAATGTGTGACATTCACTCAAGCTGCATGGCTGACGGGCATGCTTGACATTAATACGTGTTCTGAGTGTTCCCCTGAGCTCATAAAAACTCATTATCAGTTCTGAGCCAGTAAATGCAGTGCCTGCTCCTCAGAGGTGCCCCGGGCAGTGGAACCCTGGACATCTGTCTTCGCCAGCCATCAGACTCCTCCCTTTGTCCTGGGACACTGTGTCTCAGCCCCTGGGAGAGGACCCGAACAGACATCCAGCCCCTAAGCAAAACCCTTGCTTCAGGTTTACAACCAAGACAAGAGGCACCTTCTGACTGTGCTTCGCCATGAGTCTGTCTGATATAGACATGCTGCCGTGGACACCAAGGCACGGTGGTAGCAAGGTTCTCCTGGCCTGAAATGGACATGGCCGTTGGTATCTGCTAAGCAGATAATAAAGAAGTTTGGTCCACAAGCACCATGGGATACGTTAAGAGCCAAGAGTGTGGGCATTCTCACTCAAAGGGGTGCAATGCCACAGACAAGTGAGGTGTTCATCCTGTGAGTTAAGGCTCCATTTGTTATCTGTGTGTCACAGAGGTGTGTGCAACACAGTCAGATGTAGGTAGGTGTGGATCACACCCACAGGCTGTGCCAATGTTCTACTGAGTATTTCGGATGGATAAGTAAGGATGTTCACTTCTGGGTCTAAAAATGAAAACTCTAGCCAGGTGTGGTGGCTTATAACCCTGGGGAAATGGAGGCAGGAGGATCAGGAGTTCAGGGTCAGCCTTGGCTATGTAGTGAGTTGAAGATCTGTCTGGGCTCGGTGAGATTCTGTCTCCAAAATATGAACAAACAAATAAAAACCCCTCCAAAATGAAAAGTCTTTATGCACACTTGTCTGTGTGAGAGAGCACACTTTCGTGTGCATGCACACACATCATATATGCACATTCATGCATGTATGTGTTTGTGCATATGTCCAAGTGTGCACATATGCATGCACGGTGTGATTATGTTCACACATGTGAACATGTGTATCGGTGTGTGTGTACCTTAGGTTCCTTCAACTGCAGCACTCTTCTGACCCATGATCCATGAGGTTCCCAGGGCTCACACAGCCTGATGACACTGCACAGGTAGCCAACTAAAGCCAAGGCATGCCCCCGGCCATACCACTCCCCACCAGTTAACATACTGAGAACCTCTCTCGTGAAGGAGACCTTAAACTCATCCCTGCCCCACTGGGACGTCTCCCACGTGGAAGCAGTACGTTTGTCACTCTGGGCTCCTCAGATCTGAGATCTAGTCCCCGTCTTGCCAAAACTTTCTGTTTAGACTTTGAGACGTTTACTCACCTCCTCCGTGCTCAGGTTCTTCAACCCTGAAGTGGACAGGCTTTCTCATGGTGGCGTCCTGGTTTCTGCCTTAGGTGGCATGAAGTGACAGGGCCTCCACTGTGCAGTTTGGCTCAGTTCCTGTGGTCAGAGGGTCACAACTGTGACCTTGCTCCCACCTCTCTGCCATGGTGGCTGCAAGCCTTGCTTATTTTACTCAGCTGTGTGTGACAAGCCAGTTCCTGGGGCTAGTCTAAGCCTTGCCTAGCCAATATGTCACTAGGATGTGGTGAATGTTACCCTTCTGTAACTCCTCCTCAATGTGATAGGAGAGACAGAGAAGGAGAAGCTTGCCTTCTGAGCCACCCTGTGGAACTGGGATGTCACCTCCATGCTCCCCCCCGCCCCCTTGTGTATCTCTTCATGTACAGTACTTGAAGTTATAGACCTGCCCATGGAGCCAGGTGGTGGACTTTCCTTCCTCTTCCTTCAGTTGCTCAGAAGGCCCTTTCCAGCTCAAAGCAGACATGCTCAGGCTGGTGTTCTGGTCCGTTCAGTGTCGGGTGTGTGAGTCCAGGCTGTCTAGGGCTGGAGGGGGGACAAAAATATGGGGATGAAAACTGGAAAGACAGAGGCTGCCCTCTGGGAAGCGTGGGCAGCTCTGGCAGTCTCTGTTGGTACAGTGTCGAGGGGGAGGGGAACCCTGGGATAAGAGTGTGTGTCGGGACAGAAGTGACCCCAGAAGCCACATGCACGTGCCCCACTAACCCTTGCTTTCCCTCGTCCTCCTCTAGAGTTTGCCCTGAGGCCCAGCATCGGGAGACTTCAAGGGGACCTCGGTGCCTCCCCAGGAAGAAAGACCACAGCTGGAAGAGGTAGGATTTCATGATGTAGTGGTGGCGGCCTTGTTCAATCAAGATGGCCGGACTTCTCATCTGTCTCCTGCCCTCCAAAACCACCTTTCTAGGGAAGAGTCTTGGGGCTCATGCCCTAGGGGTTCCGGGCAGGGGAGAGCAGCTTTACCCCAGTCTCCGTGCCCTGATGTTAATTCAGGGATGGCAGAAGCAACTGGGGGTCCATCCAGGAAGTGGGAACTAGCTCTCTGAGGAGGACACAGCTCCCATGATCCCTTTCTGGTCACCCTGAGCATCCACCCCAGTCTCAGGACTGTGAGGAGGAAGCAGCTCCCTAGAGTGCTCACCACCCTGAGGGTGACATTTAACATCATAGGACAAGCATCCGTCCCCTTGTCCATGATAATACTGAGCGTAACAAGACTGAGTTCTGCCTCTGGGGATCCAGGACCCCAGAAATGCTGAGTGGCCTCATGGAAGGTTCCTGAATGAAGAGTTCAGGCCTACTGTCTTCTGGCCGGCTGCAACCACCAGTGTGTATGATCTTGGCAGTGTTTCTACCTCCATTTTAAAAGAGTAGAGAAAACCTGGGGTCAGAGAGGCAAAGAGACTTTCTCAAGGTCACATAGCATTGAGTGACAGGGCAGGATTTGAACCCCTGACTAAATGACACCATGGTTCTGGGTCCTTTACTCATTCTGTGACTTGAGGCTCCAGGCAAAGCCAAACCTATTAACTAAACTTCTTGTGTGAAATTCTGGTTCCTGAAGAAGCATGAAAGTGGTATTTTTTCTTTGTCCTGGGGGCTCCATGTTTTTACACTGGACTTTTTGTAAAATACTCGTGAGTCTTAGTTTTCTGTCCTTGAAACTATAAAAATAACATCTCCTCACGCTATCCTGGGGAGAGACGGGAAAGATTCTAGAAGTACCCCACACAGTTTCTTGTGTGAGCCCCTCTGTTGCTCTCCCATGCCCAGGGTTGTTGTCCGCAGGGCTTGGTCATTGCATACAGATTTGCTGTGCAGTAGGCTGGTGGTATTTCCTATCTAGATGCCCAGCTGTCTATGGCTGGCCTTCACTCAGCCACCTTTCTCATTGCTGGTTCAGTTCCTCCGCTGTTTTGTGCTAGGCAGCTGGCTGCCTGGGTGTGATTTTGGCTTCAATGTAAGGCTGGGTGGCTAGCAGAGCTGGGATTGGCTGAGGTTCTAGCGGACAGTGGCCTTTTGGGCACCTGCAGTTCTCCAGCTCTGCAACCTCCAGCAGTAGCCTCGGCCTCGATCCCCACAGACATATACAGAGCCCGGAGCTACCCCGTTTCCTTTATGAGAGGGCTCAAGCTACTGGGAGAGAGAGCTTGCCTCCCCAGGACCCTCCTTCAGGGCAGCAGGAGTCGTCACTGGGTCCCTGAAGGTTGAGCCTGGGCCCTCCTCCTAACTGACAAATGCCAGTCACAGAAAACAACATCAAGTGGCCTCCAAGCAACAAGCAGAGTCCAGGGTCTGCGTGGTGCTGCCTTGTGCTGGGGCCCAGCTATACCTATCGAGTGAATGACAGCTCATCTCTGAAAAAGGCAAATAGTGTGTACCTCTTTGGGTCAAGGCACACATGCTTCCCAGGTTATCCCATTCTGCCCTCTCAGCCTCTCAACCACTCTGTAATCTCAGCCCTATTATCAGGTGTGGTGAGGGAAGGTGATGGCCAATAGGAGTCACCTGCTCCATTTGCTTAGAACAATGGCAGCCCTCTTGGGGTCCTGTGGCCTCTTAGAGGACCTTCCTAAAAATACCCAGACCTCCTGATGGAAGAGTGGATGTTTATCAACGAACAGTGATGTTACCCAGGAGACACATACCTTTTCCTGTGCCTGGTCTAAAAACGGCTGGGAGAGGGGTCTGGCTTGTGTCAGCGAGCACTCAGTTCTGATGTGCTGGGGCGTGAGGCCATCCGGGGTGGGAGCTGCTTTCCCCGGCTTCTACTCCATTCTGACATATCACTCCTGGTCACCCTTCAGCAGGTAACTGTTGGTTGTACCAATACTCAAAAGCCAGCTTCATTAGTTTCCTATGCGTGGGGCCACTGGAGTGTCAGGGAAGTTGGTGACCCGCTCCAGGGCTCATGTCTACCAAGAGGTTAGGGAAGAATTCAGCACAGGCCTCCCGCCCCTGAAACTGTCTGCTGAACACCCAAAGGGCACAGCTTCCGTGCATGGTGACGCCCTTCCCTAATTCTCTACCCATTTGTACAATGTGCATGGGACGGGACAAAAGAAGTTCCCAGTCAGTCACCTTTCATCTCAGCACTCAGAGAGAATGAGGCAAGAAGATCAAGAGAGGTCAGACTTGGCTACACAATGAGACCTTGTATATGGAGATATGGAGAGAGAGAGAGAGAGAGAGAGAGAGAGAGAGAGAGAGAGAGAGAGAGAGAGAGAGAGAGAGAGAGGCGTTTCTGTCTTGCCAGCCAGCCCTCTCTGAAGTCTTCAGAGATCTGCCCACAAGAAGCAGGTGGCAGGAGGGAGTGGATGATGGAGGGAGACCCCACTGCCCCAGCAGAGGATGCTCGCAGCTCCATTTTGTCTGTTTTGTTTGGTTGCTGTTGTTCATGCCTTCTTTGATGTCCTGTCCAAGAATCCATTACCAGATACAAGGTCTCGAAGAGCGCCTCCATTTTCTTCCAGGAGTTTGTAATTCTAGCCTTAGCCTCAGAGTGTTGACTCCTTTGAGAGTACTGATTTTCTGTGGTGTGAGATAGGGAATAGCGGCTGTCCCAGCTCCGTCAGGCACCATCCTTCCCCCCTGATTTGTCCGTTACTCTTGCTGAAAATGAATCAATCACGGGCACGTGAGTTTATTTTTTCGTCAGTCTTTCAGGTGTGGGTTCGTTTCTTGACTTTGAGCTCCATTCCACTGGTCAGGTATCTGTCCCTAGATTTTGGTGGCTGCACCTTTGGGTGTCATTCTGAGGCTCACTGCTGTGCTTCAAAGCTCCCCAGGGAACTCCAGTGTTCAATCAAGGTTGAGCACGCCTGGGCTTTCCAAGCAGGTGAGATGGGGGTGTCTGAGAGGCTGCTGAAAAGATGGAGAAGAGAAGGCATGGGGTGGGGAGACTGTGATGGAGCTGAGAGTCTGAGACCGGAAGGCAGATAGATCAAGAGTCCCACCCTCTGGAAGACCTTGGAGATGGCAGGTGACCTTGATCAACTTGCTTTCCACTCCCTATAAGACTTGGAGCTAGGCTTGGATGTTGTGACAGCTCTGCCTTCCTGTGTGACCTTGGCCAAGGCACCCAACTTCTCTGAGCTCTGTCTCTGTCTCTAAAAGGTGGACCAAAATTCTATTTCTTCTCACACAAAGGGTTGGGAAGGGGCCTGATGGCTCAGCCATGCAAAGAGTTGGAGTAGCTCAATGGTGACTGAACAGATTGGGTCTCTACCTTGGGTTCTTACTTCACCCTCAGGGATTCATACGGCTGTGGGGGACTGGCTCTAATGGGTCAGGACATCTCCTTGGGCTGAGCAGGAACCTCTATGCTCTCTCTACCTGGCCTGAATCTGCTTTCTGGGGCTGCAGAGAAGAAGTGTGACTATTCTTCACACGCCAGCTCCAGCCCTGTTCATCTGCTGGTTGAGGGGCCCCAGCTACCTTGACCTCCCTCTGGGATGCAAAGGTAGGCGCTGTCTTGACTTCCTGAGTACCCTCCTCTGGGCAGACTCAGCCTGCATCACTCTCCTCCTCAGCCCCCAAGCTCAGCCTGACTCTAGCTAGATTCTGACCCCACTCAGGAGAAGCCTTATGTTCTTGACGCTAGATGTGATAATGCGGTACAGTAATTCCCACGCCCTGGTGGGGTTCCAGCTTCTTCTCTGCATGTTTTGAAGCTGCAGACAAGATCCACCATGGCTGGGGACACCACATTGGCCAGTGGTTCATCCATAGGCATGAGGGCCCAGTACCTGAGGGGAGAACTCCAGGCCCCTCCTTGCCGGCTATCAGCCTGGGTGATGGTCTCAGCCCATCATCTAGCCTGTGAAGATGCCCATAGGACTTCAGGGCACTGACTGTGAGGATGGAGCACCAGTGTCCCCAAATGATGACGTCATTGTCTGGCCTGCAGTTCCACATGGCCTGTGTTTCTCCCGTGCTGACTCAGTTCTGACTCAGGGCCTCCAGCCAGAACGTAACTTCACAAAGCATCTTCCAGCCACATCTCTCCTATAGCTGCCTCCTAGCTCTGGGCCTGAGATGTGTATTGGGGACAGAGTCTCAACACCCAGGTCTCCTTCTCACTCACCCAATGCCTTCCAGAACTTTCTAGCTTAGGCTGGTCCTGTGTGTACCTGTAACTCACAACAGCCCCTAGCATTTCTGCCCCCTTTGAAGGCTTCCAGCCCGATCTGTGCCTCCTTCCCTTTACAAGTTCAGGGTTGTTTTTTGTTTTGTTTTGTTTTAAATTTATTTTGTGTGTGTTAGTGTTTTGCCTGCATGCATGCACCCCGTGTATGCCTAATGCCTGTGGAGGTCAGGAAAGGGTATCAGGTCCCCTGGTTGTGGGCCGCCATGCGGATGCTGGAAATGAAGTCCTTATCCTCTGAAAGACAACAGGTGCTCTAACCACTGAGCAATTTCTCCAACCCCTTATGTTCAGTTATAAGTCTACACACAAAAAAAGGTTGGTTGGGGGCCACACATTTCTGGTCCCTACAGGAGGCAAGGCCAAGTGGACCTCTGCCTGGGAGCCTCCACATCCCTGGCTCAGTCGTCATGGAGCCAGGCAGACAGGCCTGCTTGCTCAGTAGGGTCCCTATTCCAGGACATCTTGGAGAAATAATAATGTCTTCATTTCCCCAGCGAGCAAATTGATTCTCTCTGTCTCGCAGCAGCAGCAGTGAGGAGCAGACGCGGCCCTGAGAGGCTGCTACTGTTTAATAATGATGCAAATCTGAGCTATGAATCACAGCTGGAGAAGGGCTTCAACTGCAGACCGAGGGCCTCTGGTGAGGACTGTCTCATGAAGGGCCCT